TATATATATATATATATATATATACATGTATATAGAAATAGTCCTTGTGCATAAATAATTTTCGTTTCCCTTTTATTTGAAAAGTAGGTAAATAAATCCTTGTTTTATATAAAATATAAAGTTCTGAAATCTTCGCAGACATTGCGTCACGTCACATGAATGATATGACGAGCAGCTTCAAATCAAAAACCGAAAAATTTGTAAGTGATATCCAATCAGATTTGAAACAGGGTAAATCGATTTTGAAGCATACTAATGACTCCAAAATAACCGATAGTGATGAGCCAAGAACTTATAGAGAAGAATCGCGAGTCTCTGAACACGGTAAAATACTAATAATATTACTTTTCTTAATTTCCAATTAAAAAGATAGATTTGACTCGTTGTAATTACGTGTAATTTGTATGTATATTAAACATGTATTATATATAATTGATATAAAAAAAAGTATAACACATACACACACACATTTATATAAGTTTAAGATCTGCTACAATCTCACAATCAGTATAAAATATGTCGTGTACACATATACGAAGAAGTCTATAAATAAATTACATTAGCGTAATACAAGCGTGTAATATTCATTGACGCAAACAGGAACAAAACAAATTGATCCGGATACTGGACTCGTATATTTCAAGTATGACTTTGGCTATGAATTTGGTATTATTTTACCCGGCGAAGGTAAAAAGACGGTTGAAAGTAACAAGAAGATAATTCAAGGACAGAGACGTTCCAGTGACATAGAAGTGCCTATAATCCATGAGTTTACTGAAAAGAAAACAAATGGTTTTATGAAAAAAGGCACATTTATGAACCGCCAGAACAAGATAGGAAATAAATTCGAAAATTCAAAGACTGTTAAATGGGAGCCAACATCGGAAAGCGACTTTTCTGAAGCTGAAGACATGAAAAATCTCAATAAGAAACAACAGGGAGCTGGCATAGAAAGTTCGATGGCGCTTCCAAGTCTCGTCATACCTAGTTCTGTGTCATCATCAAGATGGGATCACACAACGCCCAGTCCGCTTTCTCTTAGTCCAAGTCTGCCAAGCCTCTCTCCAAGACAGAGTAGCGCTACTGGACCACCTAGTAATGTGGATTCTGCAGGTACATACCTGCCGTCGAGAACACGCGTTGACATTATTCAATTTTTTCTTGCTTTGCTTCAATCGTTATATTATTGTAATAACATTATTTTGTAATGAAATTCTTATTAAATAATCTCTTGTTATACTTTTGAATAGCTATAGTTTCTATTGTAATTTGCATTAAAATTGCTTTGTTGCTTCTTGTGTACTCGGATTTTTCTCGAGATTTCTCTAATAAATTTACAACATCATAAAATATAATTTAGGAAATGAATAATTAATACTAATAATTAAGTGTAATGAGCCTTTCATGACATTGTTAAATTAAATATTACTTTAAAACTAGATGCTACTTACTTTTATGTGTGCTAACAAATCAATTATTTATTTAGGTTTTAGGTTCTAACAATTCGCCACTTGCTAATGTACTATTATACTAAATTACGCATTAATCACTTTGCCACGTCTACATTCTTTTATTGCTACATACTTAGTAAATATTAATATTATTATTTTTCCATTAAGTTTTATAAAAAAATTGTTATAGGTTCACCTTGGCCGCTTAGCAACGGCGTGTCATCGATTACAGAAGTAATTCAGCCTTACATCGAAGTTTTACCGAAGAAAGCTCCTACATTCATTACGGTAATGTAGTTAAATTATAATAACATTAATAATGTTAAAGGCTTTTTATTAACTTTAAAATAATTCTAATCAAGAATCACACATGTTAAGAAGAAATTTTGATCATTATTACAGCCACTGAAAGATATTGCGGTAATAAGCGGACAACCAGCTAGATTTGAATGTATTGTTCAAGCAGAACCACAGCCCAATATTCTATGGTCAAAAGATAATAGAATCGTTGAAAATTCTAAGAATCACGAAATTCAATACAGAAACGGCATTTGTCGTCTTATCATAATGAGAGCTTTACTCGGTACGATACAAGCAATACTTTATGCTTATATTTAATCTTTTAATTGTATTAATTTATTTTTGCATTTTTACAAAATTATATATATTTACTTAAAATTATTTGAATAAAATAATTATATTCAAGTATAGAAGAAAAAATAATAATTCTCTGTCAGATAATTTTATGTATTTTTCTTACGTAGAGGATGCCGGGACTTATGCATGTACGGCAACGAATAGTTTAGGTTCCACCGTAACTTCTGCCAACTTGGAAGTTCCAGGTAATAGACGTTCTATATATGTCCCTATTTCGTAAAAATCTGGTGAAGAAAGGAATCAACAATCAAATGGAATAAATACAAAGGTGGTGGAACATTTAATTCTCAATTTCGGTTTGCTGATACCAATTTTCACATTGTATCGTATTATTACTTAATCAGGTCACAAACTAATATGGTGAAGGAAATAATGACATATAATGCTCGACACATTGTATTCTTTAAGCGAGAAAAAATTCAAATTTTTAAATGAAGATAAGCGAATAATTCGATTTCAAATTGCTTTTTCTACGTAGTTTGCTTCTTATCAGGAATAAACGAAAATTTTTCGAAAATTTTGCGAAAAACGCAATATAAATAAATAAATATAAATGGTGCTACTAATTTAATTAATTAAAATATAATAGGGCAAAAAAATGGATTAGCTTTGTCTCAATGATGCAATTTTATTTTTATTGCATTTTATTCAAATATTCAAATTAATGTTTTGGTGAAAGCTAGTCAATTCAAACTAGTCAATAATTAATTAATAAATAGTGAAAGAAATAAAAATGCAAAAACTGCCTTATCAAATAGCATACAAATATTTTAATAGTGCCATTGAGCAAGTTAAGAAAAGTTTTTCTTGTATACTTTACTTGTTTACGTATTACCTATTTCAAGTATGTTATTGTGACTTGTTATTAAAATATTGTATTATATTTTTAATTTTTCTTTACGCATATTAATTATTTCTTGCCAAGATTATTACAGATTAGAATTATAAGATTTGTTCTCAGAATTAGCTTTACCAAAAGTAATGATTAAAAATAATATTTGACAAAATAGAAAATAAATGCAATTTATTGTTTTAATACAAAGATTAATATCATTTTTAAATTATTCTATTTATACATCATGTGCATAATATTGTTAAAATTATCGCTATCAGATTATTTAAAAATACGATAAGAGAATATTATTATTTATTATTAAATGGTAAATATATATAAATGAAATAAGAGCATCCGATCATTCTAGATACGGCTTTTTATTTGATAATTTTACAAATTTCTATGTTAATTGTTTTTGCTTAAAATACAAGAAGTTAATATTTTATATCTATAGACGGAATATGGGATATCTATTACTTCGGATTTACAATAGAGTTCTAAACCTTAAGCCATAAGAAATCGACAAATCATAATCGATTATTCTCCTCGAATTCGACTGTAATTGGTCAAATTCTTACGGCTTAAGGCTTAAAACACCTATGTAGCTCTTGTAGATCCGGACTTATGGGGCATGTACGGGGCTATGCTACATACCGCTATTCTATTGCTCCTTGCGTTCACAGAAGAGATAATTTATATTTAGCATGTGTAATTCAAAAAATACAGACACAAGAAACAGCATTTTTTTGTAAAATTTCATGAAACGTCTCAATGTTTTATAAGTTACGTAAATGACTATTATTCAATATTTAATAAATGATCGAAGATAATTTAAAAGTACGATATTTTAATATATTTTCTTATCGCAAGGGGTTAACTTTTATTTATTAATCTCGCTGTTCAGAAATTGACAATAATATTTATATACTATGTAAATAAACGTATGCTTTCTCTACAATATGAATTTGGGTAAACGGTTTAATAAATTATTTCACATTCTTGCCTATATATCATCTTCCTTTTTTATTCTGCCTCTATTTTGCCTTCTTTTTAGCATTTATAAGATATTATAATGCATCGGCATTAATGATGAACGGAAATATAAGGTAAAATAATTATTTATAAAATAAACAGTGTCAGAGTGTCATATAAACGTTATATTACTATATATTGTTTTTTTGTAAATAACACTGGTTTACAAATAAATGTTTTCTTTTTTCAATTACTTTGAAGGATACAAGCTTCTCATAGATTTTTGGATGTCAAAAACAATGCCACAAATAAAATTTCACTAGCACGTCAGGTTTTCCAAAGTAATTGAGATTTAATGTACAAAAAAAAGGTTAACATTATCTTGAAATTCTGATCAGAAGTCATGTATTATCCATCCCCTATATAATGCATTTCTTTTATGTCAACATTTTACTACTTAGCTATGTTATAAAGAGATTTAAATACAAAGTTTTTCTAAGATAGCAAATTTTCCGCTTATGAAGATGAATTAAGACATATATATTTATAAAGTAACTAGTTTTGTAACTATTAATACATAGTGTCATAACATAATTTATTGTTATAGATTCCGCTAAATGTATATGTACATGCATACATATATATAGATACACAAGGAGTGTCTCATTTAAATTGTCCACCTCAAATATCTCGAAAAAAACGTATTTTTAAAAAAATATTTCGGATAAAAGTTGTATAGTCTGTGTATTGATAGCCATAAATTAAAAATTTTATGACTTCATTATCATAGACGGAAATTTGCTACCTTAGAGAAATCCTGCATTTAAATCTTTTATATTATATAATATGGCTAAAAAATAAAATATTAAAATAAAAGAAAATGCATTTTATAAAGAGTGAATAACACATTCATGACTTTAAATTTCAAAAAAACGTTAATCTTTCTTACAAAATAACGTTAAATAAATCGCTGGCAGAGTTGGGAAGTAACGCGTTACTTGTAACGCCGTTACTTTTTTCGTTACCTTTTTCTGTCTTTAACGGTAACGGTAACATCATTTAATTTTTGCAGTAACGATAACGATTCAGTCGTTACTTTTATCGTTACTTTAATTTTTATTGGATGGGTCGGATTGGATCATATTTCGATATTGCTGGCGCTGAAAAATGTTTCGCTTTTGTGTCCTTAGAAATGTACTTCTAATTACCCAAGTTGTATCGTTATAACAAATGAGCGAAATATTTAAAATTTTTTTTAATGCTTGTGTAAGTATTAAATATACAGTGGCGTGCAAAAGTTTCCGGCTAGTGACATTTTGTACTCTAATTTATAGGAAAAAAGCCTGATAAAATTTTAATCATTATTAGGTGTTGGTACAAGATGTTGGTAACGAAATAATGTAAAAAAAGAATATTGTTTATATGTTTATGAACATTTTTATTATTATAATTGTCATATTTACATGTGCAAAAGTTTCCGGTCACTATGTACTACGAGAAATATTATTAGTTCAAACAATTTATAATGCACTTCAGTTAGTTTAAATTATATTTCAATATCAATATTTTGTGGCCATACCCTTTGCAGCGATAACAGCGACACAACGATGTGGCATCGAATCGATTAGTCGATTAATCAATCAGGCGAAATTTTATTCTATTCTTTTTTCAACGATTTCAATAAAGTGATCTTATTTGAATGTGTATGTATGTATGCTTCCGAATTTGACGATCTAGCTGTTCCCATAAATGTTCTATCGGGTTCAAGTCCAATGATTGAGATGGCCAGCTTAAAACTTTCACATTTGCATTTGAAAACCACTTCTTTAATAACTTAGATGTGTGTTTTGGGTCGTTATTCTGCTGAAATATCCAATTCTGTGGCATTGTTTTTCCAGAATATGTTAACAAATGTTGTTCTAAAATGTCCTTGTAAATAGCAGCGTTTATACACCCGTTGATCTCTACAAGTGAACTGACTCCTTGTGAAAAAAGAGAAAACTCTCCAAACCATTACGCTTCCTCCACCGTGTTTTACAGTAGGAATTTAATATCGAATGTCATTTCTGGTACCAATAGGACGTCGAACATGCTGTCTTCCATCACTTTCAAAAAGATTAAATTTAGATTCGTCTGAGAAAGTTACTCTTTTCCAATCTTCGACTGTCCAATTTATGTGATCTTTAGCAAACTGTAATCGGGCCTTCTTATTCTTTTTACTGATAAATGGCTTTTTAATACTTATACGGCCAAAAAGTCCTACATCATATAGCCTTCGTGTCACAGTACTATGGCTAACATCGGCAGCAGTTTTCTTGACATCTGCAGTTGATTTCCATTTAATGACACGATCTATTTTTTTAGATGTTTTTCGTGGCCTTCCACTACGCGGAAGATCTTTTAATCCATATCCAGCGCGATATTTAGCAATAATATCATTCACGGTTGATTTACCTATCGATAGTAATGAAGCGATCTGACGAGAAGACTTTCCATTTTTTGAAAACTTAATTATTCTCTTAATTATTCTCTCGAATTTGAATTTGCGTATGTCGAACCATGGTTACGCCTTAACGACTTCCTACGAACTAAGTATAATCATTGAACGCTATATTGTATGTAAACAAACCATTAGAGTCCTACTGTAAGTCAAATATATTCAGTGGCCGGAAACTTTTGCACACGTAAATATGACAATTATAATAATAAAAATGTTCATAAACATAAACAATATTCTTTCTTTACATTATTTCATTACCAACATCTTGTACCAACACCTAATAATGATTAAAATTTTATCAGGCTATTTTCCTATAAATTAGAGTACAAAATGTCACTGGCCGGAAACTTTTGCACGCCACGTATATTTACAATTTAACATTGTATTATGTATAATAAAAGATTCTTATATTTGCAATAAATATAATTATAAAATATTTATTTTCTCATTTTTATTTCTTACAAAATATTTTATGCTTTATATCTGAGACTGCATTCCGGTAGTTACTATCAGTTGAAAATCTGTAATTCACATTACATAGGGTAACTCCGGTATATACGCCGTACCTATCAAAAACTTAATTTATTAAGTATTATTTACTATGTTTATAGTAAATGAACTATATCAGTAAAAACTTTGTACTGCCTACTACTATGAAAAAAATATTAGAAATCCGAAATATTTATTTTTCATATTAAAAAATAAACTTTTTGAAACCTTGTATTTTTGCCGCATATCTCATAGGGGTGGGATATATGACTACTCATAGGAGAAAAGGTGGTATGTACAGCTCATGAAAAATTTACAAGTAATGCAAACATGCTTAATAATACAAACATGCTTTACTATTCCACTACACGTATGTATCACGAAATAACCATTAAGTTTTTTACACGTCCTATATTAATCATTTTATGTAGATTATAATTTATGATGGCGTTACTTATTACAGTGACAAATCGATTTAACTCACAATAAATTCATTAATATTAACAGTAAGAAGCTGAAATCATAACACAATACTAATATAACATAAAGGCATGTAACAGAGTAGTTACGGGAAAATTACCCCCACTCCTTCTATTTTTTCTGACTTCTGCGGCGTAAATCCCAGTGCGGCGTATTTGCCGGAGTTACCCTATATACTACAGATTTTCAGTACTGAAATTGAATCTTAAAATACATTCTTAATAATGACATTAAAGTTTAAAAACAATATTTAATTTAAATTCGGTAATTGTGGCATTTAGCTCCCGATGATCATTTTCTGCCAGATTCGGTCGTTTTTTGTGCAAAAACGCGTCGAATAAGTCTAATTTTATCAACATCGTATGTGAGGGAGCTAACTCAACAATTTCCCGAAAAGTAACGAAAAAATAACGATTAGTTACTTTTTCAAGTAACGGTAATAGTAACGCGTCACTTTTCAAAATGAATAATTAATGGTAACGAATTATTTTTAACAAAAAGTAACTAACAGTAATGCATTATTTTTTCAAGGTAACCTTCCCAACTCTACTTTTTGTACATTAAACTACAATTAGATATTTTGAAAAATCTGACGTGCTGCAACTTTTTGGTTTGCAGCATCATTTTCACCGTACAAAAATCTGTAAAAAACATCTAGTCCGATTCAAAATAATTTTTTACAGTAAATAAACTAGTGTAATCTTTCACAAATAGCAAACATCTGATAAAAATTTAATTTTAAATAAATTGTAATACTTCTTATAGAAATTGTAAGAACAAATTTTCTTGTTTTTTTACGAGAAATGTTCCATAGTATGTAGTTCCATCGTTCCATCGTTCCAATGTTCCATCGTTTATAGTAAAGATAGTTAGATACTTATAATAAATTCTTTAACAATACATCGTTATTAAATATAATACATGCCAATATTTTTCGATTAAATTTAAACATTCTTTAAAAAATTTGAACTATATATGCTAATGTACTAATATATGCTAACTTCAATTTTATATTATATATAATACTTTTAAAAATAACTTCAGACAGAGTTATAATTAAAAAGAAAAATTATTTCTTATTATTTAACTAAAACTAGCGATTAAAAGATTATGTCAGCTCGCACATAAACAACATTTTGATATTATAAAATTCAATTTATTTCTTACATAAAGAATAGAGATGATCTGGTATGAAAATAGATGGTAAAATAATCTTGTGGAATGTGGAGGAAAATGTGAGTTGGCAATCCAAAAATATACGGAAGAAAAACAAACGATCTTTTATATATATATATATATATATTTATATATGGAGAGTGTTAATCCATTTTCTCCACATGACTCGGTCAAATAATAAGAATTTAAATTATTATGACATTTTCCAAATATAGTATCGCTATTTAATTTTAGATGCACCAATATGCAGCACAATATGATCACAAGAAATGCATGTTCGAATGGTTTTCGCAGGATTTGTCAAAACATTTAACTTAAAAGATTTATTTTTATCTCAAAACAAATATGTTAGATCTACTTTGATAAATCGCAAACAACCATATAAATCCTTTTATAATCTCGGATTGATTGCAAATTATAGATAGTTACATCAATGATTTAATGTAATTCATCAAATTTTATTATCAAATTATCATAAAATTATATGACAGTTTCGTAGAACGAAACAATTGTAAAAATGCGGGGGAAGAATTTGATAAGATACACATAACAGATTATATTGGACATGAATTAAATATTATCTGCACGAAGAACGGAACTAACATCGGTGGTTTATATTTAATGAATACCAAATTCCCATCATACACTCATAAAATGTATAATGAAAAAAACGGTGAGTACTTAAAATCTGAAGGGATTTGATAAAATAATATCTAATATATAATCTTACACGTAAAATGAATACGATGCATATATATATATATATATTCACGGATGAAAAACTATACTATCGGTTTTACGAAACAAAGTATCGATTTAGAGATTATTCCAACTTGAAAGAATTTTATAACGAGTCTATGCAATTTTCAGTTTTATCACCTCTTGTTAACGATGACTGTTTATTGTCGTCGCCTAAAGTAGAATACGATAATAAAATATAGATTATATATATATATATATATATATAGGTGTGTTAATGACGCTCTTAGCAGTGCATGATACATTACGTTCGGATTCGGTACATGAATCACAAAATCATTAAATGCAAAGATTCTTTCGTCATGTCGATCGAGATTATTTCACAAAATCTCAAAATAGATGTGTCGCTATGCGGTACTTTGGACGAAACGCGATGATTCATGCGTGACCCACCTTCTTCAAGATTATACTGATGTTCTTGGCGCGAAAGTGCTAGATGGTACTTACTTCCTTCCTACGTGCACTTTAACCATTAATGTTCGTTTTTTATTTATAACCAACAATAAATACGTAAAACGTTCAGAAAACTGATGCACATTAATTACGATATAAAGTATACATTATAGTTTAAAGATACGTATCGTTAATGCATATAAATTACACGAGAGTACCGAACAGCATACAAATATTACAATCGGTGTGTGTTTCGCTCCGATTCGTCGATAAAACGTTAATGATTGGATGAAATCATGCTCATTGCTTATAAATAGAAGAGTACAATTTTTTGTAATTTATATCTAAGTGTATAGAATATCTACAAAATCTTTAAGATAAAAAAATTTTTTTCAAAGTTTCTTGGATAATATTAAAAATATCTCAAAGACAGAATTCACATCGTTATGAGAAGATCTCCCACGTTGTTAGCTTGATTGATGTGCGTGCATATGTTTTTAGAATATGGTGTGTAGCGACACTAGTTCGAATTTACAAGCGCAGTGCGCAGGCGATGTGCTCTTGCAGAGTCGCAATCAGAGCCTGTTCGTGTGGCTAAACTTGGCTGAGGCTATGTACATACAACGAGAATAATTTCTATTGCCAAATTCCATCAAGAAAGAAAGAATAAACGTATCGAATAAAATGAGACGGAAACTAGAGAGAAAGAGAGAGAGAGAGAGAGAGAGAGAGAGAATGACGAGTTGCGTAAATTTTGAAAAAACATACAATATGTACACACACATCATAAATAAAAAAAATAATAATACTGAGAAGAAGAAGAAGAAGAATTTCAAAATTTGTATATATTATATTTGATAAAGAGGCGCAAAGAAATAAAGAAGCGCGAAAAAGAAAAAGAAAAAAAGAATGCTCTTATTGTGCGTATTCAAGTATGAGAATCTAGAATGTTTAACTTTACAGAGAGGAACAACGAAAGAGAGATGTGAGGACAATAAAGTGGAGATGCGTGGGTGGCTGTCAGTGAGCGTAAGAACGCTGCGCAAGACTTTACTACTGCTTTACCGCTCTATTCGATAAAATGTATAAAGTAACTACCTATAAAAAGCGAGCAAATTTTTGCTTTCTACATTTTATATTTTTCTAATGTAAGGCATCCTTTCTTCGATATTAACCAGCGGCTATCAGAAAAATAAACAACAGTATGTGTAATTTGTGAAATAAAAATTAAAAAGGAAGAAAAAATGGTACAATGTATTTATCACACATCATGTGATATTTATATATTGAATAATTCTTTTCTCTTCTCTTCCGTCTTCATTTCTGTACATCATAAAATATAAAAAATTATTGAAACTTTTTGAATATATCGAGTTGATTCAAACACTCTATATTCTTCTTGTTCCTCCTAAGCAACTTCCGTACGTATTGAACGTCGGAGCATTCAAACGTCCCCACCCTGGAGGCGTCATCATGCGACACCCTCACCATCTTCTTATGCTTTAGCCGAGCGTCAAGTCGTAACCCGTCCAATTCGCATTCGACCGACGTCTTGGTTTAAAGAATCACGGGGACAAGACTTTTGACGATGACTTGATTTCTGCCGACTGATTGAACTGAGTCGCGGTTACCAGCAAAACTGCTTGTGTTTTGCAGAGTAAAGCGAGATAAGTGCGAGTGATTTGCTTCAAATTCATCGTTGTGCAAGAGTTTGTTTGTTAAATCTCAGGTGACAAAACACAACGTTGAGAGAGAAGAAAGGAAATCTTTTCAGATATTCTTCAGATTAATTAACAGTTTACTACTGATAAGTCATATAGTTGGCCACAATTTTGCCATCCGAACGACTCACGACTCACGATTATTGAATTTCTCGATCCAAGATGAAGCGACAACAATTTCAAGAATCACAGACGCAACAACAGCAGCAACAAGCTATCGTGCAAGAACAACAACAACAACAACAACAGTACATTCAGCAACGAACGGAAAGACAAGTCACCCGACAACAGATCACCAGTCAGCAGAGAGGTCAGTTGTGATAATTGAAAAATCACGAAATGATATCCTTGAGCAACAACTTATTGAATATGAAGAATTTAAACAAGAAGCACGGTATAAAAAATTTATCTTGACAAATTCAAGATTTATTGCAAATTGATAAATTTATAAAATTACATTTCATAATTTAATTGCTCTGATATATATTGCGAGTTCTTATAGTTAGCGGTGCATATTGTCATATTTACTTTTTTTAATTTTTTTATACCGAAAGAGACGCGAAAATAAATTTAATCTAGTTTTAATATATCTCTTCTGGTGGATATCCCGTCAACGAATAAGTGTTCTATTTCTGTGCAAGGAGCACCGTCCGTGCGAGAGTTCTAAAGATAGTTCTCCACACTTTAGACATGATCGTTTCAAAAATCCTTTCACGTGTGCTGTTGGAGGAATATGGTATCGCTTATATATCGTATCAAGACGAAAAGTACTTTACAATTTTCTTCTATTGATAATTTACTTTGAAAATTTTAATTCCAACGAGTAGAAAGTTTCCCTGTTGTTTCAAAGACAATCAAAGAATTTTTATATTTAATTCAATATACTAGCTGCACACTACCAAGGCTAATCATATTATACACCACATTTAATTTATTTATTTGAAAAGAGATGTCACATGTGTTTGCAACTTAATCATTCATATCAAGATAAAATTCATTAATACTATATTATTTCATCTTTGTTTAAGAATTCCTTCCTCTTAAAAATAAAAAAATGTTTGCTTTTGTAATATGAAATAAAATAAAATAAAATAAATTATAAAATAAAAGTTAATTTAAAATTATTTCCTTAAAATAATAAAAAATGATCTGTATTTTAGAACGTATTATGCTAAATGTTCTAATAAACGTGATATTGGAAAAATTAATCCAAATTTAGTTTCAAAATTTACTTTAAAAATATTTATTTGTGTCTATTTAATTTATTGCAAAGTTTTGTACAAACCAGACACAATACTAGTTTAATAAAAACAAGATATAAGTTATTTGTTGTAATATTTAATTATTATCTATAATATCAAAAATGTAAAATTATAAAGAATATTTTATTTATCTAATATTTTTTAAAATATTTGTTTTTCTTTATAATAATAAATAGTAATATTTTAATTTTTTACAAAAAATACAATTTATTTCATAGAAAACTTTAATTCTGGAAACTCTTCTAGAAATCTAGAGAACAACGTATGTGTTTAGAATATTTTGTATGTACATTCAATATTTCATCTCTAATAAATAAATTTTTTAATATATAAAATTGTATTTAAGTATCTGTTATCTAAAATAGCTTCATTGAAGTGCGTTTGCCAACTGCGTTATATGTTGAAGAATTGAAGAATATGAACGTGCTAGAGAATGCTATGGCTGCCAAATAAGACTGACAGATATATAAATCTTACTTACATCGATGTGCATCGAAACGTGTTAGATTATATTACAGGCGTAAAACTAAAAGACAATGAAGTACAGTAAGCAACTCCGTTACGCTAGTAGCTAAAGCGTCTTTCACGAACACAAAGAAGGAATTAATATTTAATATCGAAAAATCTCTTTAGAAATTTTCGCAAATAATATATCGTTATATAAAATATAATTATTGCTTAAAATTTTTAAGCAATAATTATATCTTACATAACAATATTTGTAAATATTTCTAATAGAATATTAAATATATATATATATACAATATAAATATATTATACACATGAAACTATAAGCGCTAAAATTAAATGCAATAAATCATATTATGCAATAATTTGTTTTTATAAATATATTTATTTTATTATGCAAAATTTTTGTAAAAATCAGCTAATTGTTCTTTAATATTTACCATAAATTTAATAGAACTTAAATGCTTTAGAAACAGTTGATTGTAGTATATGTCTTGACATCGGTCAAGCTCGATCAAAAAGAACGATAACGAGAGAATGGTAGAAAATAAGTTAAAAGAGGAAAGAATAAGAAAAAGGGAAGCAAGATGATGATTTAAATTTAAAAATTCAATATACGGATATAAAATACACAAATCTTACACAAAACGTACGCAGGTATGAGACGAAGAGAAATGTTGGACCCGGTTTTATTTTGGTCAATGACTGCTTTTGCGTAATCCCGTAACGGAAAACGCGATTGGTCCATGGACGGCGTAGACGCATCGCGTCGCGACTCGTCGCGGTGCGCAGCGCTGAGCAAAGATAGTTGTGCCTAAAATGGCTCATGGTAACGTGATCCCTATCCAAATGCAAAAATACAATCCTGTGCTTGTAGCAGCATGTTACGTCTTTCGTCCCCTCCGTAACTCGCAAATCGTGAAATAAACGATGCTAAATGTCGCGATATCACATACAATGAGAAAAATGATAAATTTTATAATTAGACAATTAATCCACAGACTTATTAAATTAATTAAGGAAAGTCTGTCTATACATACTAAATTTCATATTCAAATATATGGAAAATATGAATGTAATTAATGTACAAAACAATCAATCAATGACTAGTCTTTGTCTTTTACACATAGATTGAATTATTAAATCTTATTTCTGAAATGAAGAAGATAATCTATAGAAATATTTGTAAACATTATAAAAATTTCAATTAATATCCTTATCTTTTTATGTTATAATATTTAAATTCATCCTTTTATATTTTCTGTTATCCGTAAATTTTATTTAACTACTGATTATCTTCTAAAATTTATTCGTTTATTGCTCGAGCAAAACTGTACATGATCACATTTAAATCACTATGTGTGTACATCTTTCTTCCTCGTATAACTTCTGTCGTACTTTCCAATTAGGGTAGAACGAATCGAGGAAACGAACCGTTCACGAGCTGTTTTTTTCCTGTCGCCGTTACGCGCGATGACGATGCCGCATTTTTTCATCAAATTATGTCTACATCGGGACGCATCGTAATTTAAACCAATTTACTCGTTAGCCTGAGAACGAACCATTGCGAAAATATATGGAAGTTTATGATCCTTCCATTGGGGAGGGGGAACTGAATTTAATTTCTAATAAAGTAGATAATAGATTAATTTTTATGTTTAATATTATTTACATTTTAATTATACATATAGAAAGAAATTAATTTTCATTTATAATATTTCTTTTATTTCTGCAGTTCAAGGAGAGGTCGTTATGCAAACGACGCCATCGGTACCAGTGTAAGTATTACGACATTCATCAATTATAGTATTGCTGTAACTATAAGAGAAATATAACTACCATCAATAATATTTTTAACATGTTCTCATTAAATTATTGGCAGATTTACGGGTAAACCTGGGGATCCCTCACCACCGATTTTCGAGCGAATCTTCAAAAATGCGAGATTCGCGCAAGGCGGTAACGCGATTTTTGAAGGTTGTGTTCGAGGTAATCCGAGACCATCGGTTTCTTGGACACACAAAGGGATGCCATTGCTAGAATCACGAAAGATTCGAATGTCTTATAATGAAAATTCTGGAATTGTTACACTCCAAATTAATCAGATCGGTCCGGGGGACGAGGGCGAGTACACATGCAGTGCAAAGAACCAATATGGTAGAGATTTTTTTCTATAGTTTCCACTTAGAATACATATTCTTTAAACATTCTGTTCTCTTATTGGAATCAACGTTAGAACACAAAATAAGTGAAAAAAGTTACATGTTCTCTCCGCTTTTCAGGCGAAGCTATTTGCTCAGTTTACATACAGCCAGAGGGATTTGGTCCTTCAGCGCAACAGCTAACAGATAGTTACAAGAAAGAATTTTCGCAAAGTTTTCAGACAAGCGACCAAAAAATGCAAAGTGGAAGTCAAATCTTTCAACGCAATTATCAACAAACAACCGATAAACGAAGTTACGTTAATGGCACAACTACAAGCATTGAAGATTTTAAGGTATTACAACTAAACACTTGATGTGCTGCTTTGATAAAATAACAATATAAGAACGCTTAAAGGAATATTACTTACTTTTCAAATGCGCAGGTTGATACCTTTGAATATAGATTGTTGCGCGAATTGGAGTTCCGTGAATCAATTACTCGCCGTTTCGCGAGTGAATCCGACTTGCAAATTTCTACGGTAGTTGATCGTACCCTGGGCTCGGTCGCACCTCCACAAATTACTCAGAAACCAAGAAATTCGAAGATCGTTGAAGGATCGGACGCTGTCTTTACTGCAAAGATAACTGGCAATCCAAAACCAAGAGTAAGTTTAAGTTGTAGTGAAAGAATTGATATATCAAAGAACTTTACGACACATTTTGCTCTTCAATGCTATATATATATAATTTTTATCTCTGAGTCGTATTTCTACGTCATCTACTATCATTTTAAACGAGATATTTAATTGTTTATAAAATACCTAACTAAGTATAAGTTTATTAACTTAGAATACGCTAAATTGTTGTAGTTAACATGGTTCAAAAATGGTCAGAGAATTCGAGATTCTCAACGAGTAGAGACGTGCTACTCGAATCAGCAGGCTACTTTACGAATTCGAGTCGCTCTGCCAGAAGACAGCGGTCATTATACATTATTATCTGAGAATCCTCAAGGTTGTACCGTTAGCTCCGCTTATCTAGCAATTGAATCCAGCGATCAAGTAGATCAAGTTCCGTATCAAGCGCATCAAAGGGAATTTATTAAGACTCAACAAATAGACTCAACCAATGAATCTGTTGACTCTAGCAAGGTTCTGCCACCGAATTTCGTTCGTACCATCACAGATAAGGAAGCTACCGAAGGCAAAATGACGCGGTATGCTTCGACTTGTTTTATTTTAGTATCTTTCTAGCTTTTCTTTCGCTCTTAAATATCATTTTCGATGAGTAGTGTTTGTGATATTGACATAAGACATTAACAAATAACATATTTTAGATTCGAATGTCGCGTAACTGGCCGTCCATATCCTGAAGTCACTTGGTATATAAATGGCCAACAAGTCGCCAATGACATGACTCATAAAATCCTTGTAAATGAATCTGGTAACAATTCATTGATGATCACGAATGTGAATCGCGCCGATGCTGGCATAGTAACGTGCATTGCACGAAATAAAGCCGGCGAAACTTCTTGTCAATGCAACTTAAGCGTTATCGAAAAAGAACAGGTGGTTGCGCCGAAATTTGTCGAACGTTTTGTTACAACGGGAGTAAAGGAAGGAGAATCTGTGATCTTTATGGCACGTGCAGTCGGCACACCCATTCCACGAATCACATGGCAAAAAGTATAATATAATTTATTCGAATTTTATCTTCTTATATAATCACAATTTCTCTGACGCCAAAAATTTTTGCAGGATGGCGTACCGATAATGCCTGGTCCCGAAATACGTATATCGAGTGATGGTAACGGAGCTTCGACTTTAGACATCCCGTGCGCAAAATTTTCAGATGCAGCCTGGTACCAGTGTACAGCGCAAAATGTAGCCGGCTCCACCGCAACTCGAGCACGGCTCTTTGTAGAGACGCCAAAAGGAACGACCCCGGAACCAAGACGCCTGAATTTACCCCGACCAACGAAAGTCATCGAACCAGAGTGAGAGACTTCTCAAGTGTTCATCAAATTAACAAATTAACATTGATCTTTCCATATTTTATTTTATATCCTCATTGAAACTCAGATAAAACGTAGAATCAGAACTTTATATTATTCATTGAATTGACTTTTATTTTCTTTGGCAAAAAGGCTTTTGTGAGATAAACCGAATAATAAATATTTGCAGACCAGCGCCTGGCCCCGAAGTGATTTACCTGAGACATGTGGAACGCGCGAAACCTTATTTGCCGCCTCCTGAAGAAGACAAAATTTATCCCCCGCCACGTTTCATTATACCGCTAAAGGATGTTCATCAAATCGAAGGTGGACGAATTCACTTCGAGGCCAGAATCGAACCGGTGGGCGACCCCACTATGAGGGTGGAGTGGTATATCAATGGCAGAACAATCGACGCGAGTGAGTAAAAAACTTTTACATCTAATTTTTTTATTCAACAGAGCATTATCGAGCCAACCAATTTGTATTTGCGCATATATCTTTCACAGGTTCCCGGGCGACTTCCGTCTTTCGCTTCGGTTTTATTTCACTCGATCTCATTAGCATCGTTCTTCAAGATAGCGGCGAATATTTGTGCCGCGTTGTAAGCTCGACCGGAATTGCCGATTCTCGAGCCACCCTCAGTGTAACCCGTAAGTAAAAAATATTTTATGGATTTTTCTCTCGCGACAAATTATTATCTCTGCGCTATATAATTATATTCTGTATAATTATAAATTATTTCTTTTCTTTCAGCACGTGCCACGATTGAACAGGCAAGCCAACACCCCGACAGCCTCCAATACATTCAACAGCTCGAGGATTACAGCAAGTATCAAAGACAGGAGAGCGTGGAGGAGACCTCTTCACAGCGGCCAGTTTTCATCCGCCCGCTCCAGGATCTTGGTGAGCTACAGGAAGGTCGTAACGCCCATTTCGAGGCACAATTGACACCTGTTAGCGATCCTACCATGAAAGTGGAGTGGTATAAGGATGGAAAACCAATCACAGCGAGTGAGAATTAATATATTTGAAAAAGCGATTTTAATAGTTTAAAAAAATTATTATGAAAAAACTATATTAACTATTTATTAGGCTCAAGAATTACTAGCATCTTCAACTTCGGATACGTCTCACTCAATATAATGCACCTACGGGCTGAAGATGCAGGTTCTTATACTGTCAGAGCTGTGAACCGCTTGGGAGAGGCCATCAGCTCCGCGACTCTTCGTGTCTTTGGTGAGTTTTAGTTTCGTAACGGATAATTATTTTTAAACAAATTTGTTTCAAATAATTTTTTTTCAATATTCTCGAATATTGATGTCTTAATTATTATCATTGTGTAGCGCGAACAAGCGTAACAACAGACTTGGGTATCCCCGAACAACTGAGATACATAGAGGCTGCCGAGGAATTGGAAGCATATCAACAGGCGATGCACCAAAAGTACGTGCAGGAGCAGCCTGAACCGAGTAGCCCACCGGAATTTAAATCGCCTATTAAGGATCAAAGCGGCATACGAGAAGGTGGATTCGCTCATTTTGAGGCGCGTCTCGAACCAATCGGTGACGCCGATCTCCGTGTTGAGTGGCTAAAAGATGGACGATCTGTAGAAGCTAGTGAGTAATACATAATTCTTTTCGCAAAAGTGTATATTTATATTCACGGAATATTTTCGGGATTAGGTTCTCGGATTACAACTTTTTTCAATTTTGGTTACGTGGCATTGACCATCAAATACGTAACGATACATGATGTTGGCGTGTATACTTGTCGAGCCTACAACAGAGCCGGTGAGGCTCACACTACCGCTCAATTAAGTGTGATCAGCAAGAATGATGTTATTTATGACAGCCAGCATCCTACTGGTCTTCAAAAAATTCAGTCTCTCGAAGATTCGAGTAGATATTCGCGACAGGTTCAAGAAGAAACGCAGATTACACAAGCACCACGATTTTTGGGTAATCTTAAAGGTACCAATAAGATTGTAGAAGGCCAACGGGCGCATTTTGAGGCACGCGTTGAACCTCAAAGTGATCTGAATATGAAAATCGAATGGTACCACAACGGCAAACCTATTACTGCCGCTAATAGAATCCAAATGTATCACGATTTCGGATACGTTTCCATTGATATTCTTCAGGTTCGTCCTGAAGACGCTGGTACATACACCGTTGTAGCTAAAAACTCCCGTGGAGAAGCTCGTTTATCTGCCACCATGACCGTAGAGAGTAAGATTTTACTATTTTATTTATGCAGTATTGAAGCAATTTGCAAAGAACTAAACATTATTGAACTTTATTGATTTTTCGTTTTAGCGCGTTCCAGCATAGATACTAGCAGCATGCATCGCGGAACTTATGAAAAAACTCAACGTTTAGAAGAATCCAAATTTGTTGAGCCGCAGTATCATATCGAAGAAATCTCTAAATCAAAACCAATTTTTATTCAGCCGTTGAGTGATCCTAAGCCAGTTAGCGAGGGCAAAAATATTCACTTGGAGTGTCGTCTGGAACCGATGGGCGATCCTACAATGAGAGTTGAATGGTTCCAAAACGGACGTCCGGTCACAGTCGGTTCTAGATTCAGAACTTACTACGATTTCGGATTTGTCGCACTCGATATAGTACACACTACCGTTTACGATTCAGGCGAATATACAGTCAGAGCTACTAATCATCTGGGTACCGCGCATACTTCTGCTTGCGTCAGAATTATCGGAAGGTCTGACATCGTCACTGAAACACAAAATGAACAATCACTTGAGCAAATACAGATGTTGGAAGATGCATCAAGGTTTGCTTTTATTTATAGCTTTGTAATTCATCTTTTCATAATTATTTGTCTTATTTATTATTTCATTCGTATATAGATATCGCAAAACTCAACACGAAGATGTCACGGTGATGCAAGCACCTCAGTTCACCCGACCTTTGCACAATATTGAGACTGTAGAATTGACCAATGTCCATCTCGAATGTCGCCTTCAACCAATTGGTGATGTTACTATGAAAGTCGATTGGTTCGTTAATGGTCGACCGGTCAAAACCGGTCACCGATTTAGACCATCTTACGAATTTGATTATGTCGCTCTAGACATTCTCGGCGTTTATCCTGAAGATTCTGGTGTATATACCTGTCAAGCTAGAAATCAACTCGGCGAAGCAGTTACTTCGTGTTCCGTAAGAGTACACGCCAAGAAGGATTTACTTCTAGAATCTCAACATCCCGAAGGATTGGAAAGAATACAGTATTTGGAGGATGCATCACGATACAAAAGACACGAACTAGTGGATGAAGTCGTCACTGTAAAGCCGAAATTTATTACAAAACCGAAAAACCAAGAAAATCTTCGAGAAGGACAACATGCTCATTTCGAGTGCAAATTGGAGCCGGTAACAGATCCGAATTTAAAAGTCGAGTGGTTTAAAAATGGTCGTCCAGTAACGATAGGTAATTTATTGTTTCTTCTGTAATAAACATACATGCGCAAATCATATATTATTTAACTACATTTTTCTTTTCTCAAATCTAAATGTTCAGCTCGCTCCATAAAATTATATTTAATCTTATGCAAATCAATTTACAGGACACCGTTTTCGTCCAATTCATGATTTTGGTTACGTTGCATTGGACGTAATTGATTTGATTGCCGAGGATTCTGGAACGTACACTTGTCGTGCTGTTAATCTGGTAGGAAGTGACGAAGTACTCTGTACTTTAACGTGTCGCTCGAGCGCACAAATATTAACGGATACGCAAAATGAGCTTGGACTTGAACAGATTCACTATCTTGAGGATAAATCCAAATATCATAGACAAGAAGTTATTGAAGAAACTACCACTCAGGCGCCTATTTTCACAACTTCATTAAATAACGTCGAGATAAAAGAGGGTCAGCGAGCACATTTTGAATGTAGATTAATTCCAGTGTCCGATGCAACAATGAAAATCGAATGGTACCATAATAATAAACCAGTGAAAGCAGGCTCGAGATTCATCGAAACAAACAACTTTGGTTTCGTTGCTCTCGATATTATGTACGCGTACCCCGAAGACTCTGGGACATACACTTGCAGAGCTAAAAATATTATTGGTGAAGCCATCACTTCTGCAACCGCTATCGTTCACTGTAAGATTCGTCACTTAAAGATTTATTCAATAATTTCTTCCATTATCAATAGCATTAATTTTTACTATTTTTTATCAATAGCTAAAAAGTCAATCTACACAGAGACTCAGAGCGAAGAAACTCTTCAACGTCTTCGCTCGTTGGAGGACACGTCTCGTTATCAACGTAAAGCTACAACCGAGGAAATTATTACGCAAGCTCCTGTATTTACGATGCCGATAAAAGATCTTCGTGTTGCTGAGAATCAAGCAGCACATTTCGAAGCACGTGTTATTCCAGTTGGAGATCCTAAACTCAAAGTAGAATGGCTACGTAATGGAGTTCCTATTTCAGCCTGTAAGCCTAATAATTTATGTAATATGAAAGCATATCAGAATTATTTAGAAAATATTTTTTTAACAATTTTTAACTTTTCAAAAGCAAATCGAGTAACGACCATGCACGATTTTGGATATGTCGCTTTAAATATGAAGTACGTCAATCCCGAAGAATCAGGCACTTATACGTGTCGTGCTACAAACGAACTTGGAGAAGCAGTTACTTCAGCAACATTGTTCGTTCAATGTAGGTATATTGTGTTAATTTAACGCACCAATTCAGGTATATATTTACGAAACATATGTTTCACACAACCTGCAAACTAATTTTAAGGTAATCGATAATACTTATTTTTTGTAAATTTGATAAACTATCCCGATATTAATTAACATTATTAACATTTACTTTAATTATATCGTTAAACTGAAATGATATTCGAAATTTTATACCAATTTGCCACATAACTGTCAATATTACATTTTTTTAAATTTTAATCTTACTTTATTGGTTTGATGCATTATTGTTAAACTTATTTGTTACTATCTACAAAGTATTGCATATTTACTCGATATATTACGAGTCTACTGAAAACTTTAGTTGTTTCACGGAATACATTCAACATGTATGATTTCTTTTGACGATTCGTACGATGCGCTTTGTTAAAAATTCTTCCAAAATGCAGCCAAGGCAGCGTTGCAGTTCGAATCACAACATGAGGGCGCTTTATCGAAACTTCAAGCCCTAGAGGATACTATGAAATATCAACGTCGTGAGGAGGAGGAGATTGTGATAAAAGATAAGCCATCCTTTACGGTACAACTCAACGGACCTACCAGTTTAGTCGAAGGACAAAGCGCACATTATGAGTGTCGCATAGAACCTTACCCTGATCCCAACATGAAAGTGGAATGGTTTCACAATGGCAAACCATTATCCACTGGTCACAGATATAGAACTACTTGTGATTTTGGATTCGCATCGTTGGATGTATTGACCGTATATGCCGAAGATTCGGGCACGTATGCTTGTCAAGCCACTAATAAATTGGGATCGGCGAAAAGCTCAATTAATCTTGACGTGAAGTGTGAGTAATACACGAGGACATTTGCATGATAACGTAGCTCAGATTAGTCGATTTTATTGTGTATTTAGCATGTGTGTAGCATTTTTTTAATTATTAACTTTAATTTACACATTATATTTTATTCTTCTTTACCTTCATGACAATTTAAATTTTCTCTTTATATCGCTTTGCATTAATTTGAATATAAATCTCTTTCTAGCTCGAGCATCAATTATTCATGACACGCAACACGAGAGTGCATTGAAAAAAATACAATATCTTGAAGATGATTCAAGATATAAACGAGTGATCGAAGAAGATACGATCATTGCTGAGAAGCCCACTTTCGGACGACCATTGAAAAATATTGAGCATCTTCCAGAAGGCAAAAACGCTCATCTTGAAGCTACATTGACTCCCGTGAATGATCCGACGATGGTTGTCGAATGGTTTAGAAATGGACGTCCTGTTCCTCAAGGACATAAATTTAAAACAACCTATGACTTTGGATACGTCGCTCTCGATATTCTCTATGCTTATCCTGAAGATTCTGGTACCTATATGTGCAAAGCAAGAAACGCTGTAGGTGAAGCGATCACTACTTGCGTGATCAGCGTGGATTGTAAGTAATATTTTATATTTATACTATGCACCTATATTCTCATAATTATATTTATGATCACCGTATATTCATTAAATAATGAATCCTTTTTTCGCGGACTTTCAAAACAAACGAAAGAATACGAGATAAAGCGAGATAATTTTTCATATGTTTACTTTGCAAATTTACAAGCGTGAATGAAATTTTATATAACTTGTTATTTACAATGCTTTTAATTATTAAAAGTGTGAATATATAATTTACTAATTATTTTGATTTAAATAGCAAAACAAGGCTTATATCTCGATACATTGGATGCACAACGTTTGCAAAAAATTCGAGAGCTGGAAACTGTTGAAGTTAAAGAAGAAATCGAAAAAGAGGTTATTCATCAGAAACCTGTATTCTTGACACCGTTGAACAATCTGGATCATCTCAAGGAAGGCGAACATGCTCATTTAGAATGTCGTGTGGAGCCGATTAACGATCCGAACTTAAAAATCGAATGGTATACTCAATATTCTATACATACCCCCCCCCCCACACACACACACACAAAACGATACAATGATGATTTTAATACAATGCTGAATAATTCTTTGATTGAATTCTCTTTAATTTCATAGGTTTGTTAATGGAGTTGCGATTAAAACTGGTCATCGCTTCCGTACAACACATGATTTTGGCTATGTCGCTCTTGATATTCTTTATACCTATCCTGAAGATTCCGGTACTTACATGTGTAAAGCAACCAACCTAGTTGGCGAAGCCGTTAATACTTGCACTATCAAAGTCAGCTGTACGTATCTACAATATCATGCTACATGTTAAATCGAGATATTCGTACATGTTAATTCTATGCTAATTGTTCTACGTAATTGTCAGCAAAAAATACACTCTATCCGAAGTCTAATTTCTCACCAGTGAAGAACTCGACAAAACGTTTATATAAGCAACGATAAAATTTATGAACAAAAAAAAGGCCATTTGTCAGACAGATAGTGGCAATACCTTTACAAAGAAGATTTTCTTTAAAGTCTGTAAACTCTTGCTAACTCAAATAAGTTGTGTCTTGCAAACGATATAAAAATATTATACTTCAAAAAATCATTAACTATATTGCATGATACTTCAAGAAATATCGAATCGATTTTAATTCTTCGGATCAAGATTGATTGTAAAATCAGATTTATTTTATTTAAAAAAGTAAGCACACACACAAGAACAAAATAATCATAATCTCTTTTTTTTTATCATAGCACGACGGAGTATTCTTTTGGATACCCAACATCCGGATGGTTTAGAAAAGATTCGAGAATTAGAGTCTCAGGGTCATCCTGCACGATTAGAAATTGAGGAACTGCCAGTAACACCACCGAGATTTGTCTCTGAGCTTAGGGTAAATAATAACTATTAATAATAATAAGGAGAATGATAAAAAGCAACTTATTATATAAATTACTGTGGCAAATATATAAATCTCAATAAATGAAGCGAAGGAAGTGAACACACGAAAAACTTTTTTAGGGTACAACTGAAGTATATGAGGGGCAAACAGCTCACTTCGAGTGTCAAGTAGAGCCTTTGCATGACGCAAATCTAAGAATCGAATTCTTTCATAATGGTAAACCATTGCCATCGGCAGCGCGTTTCCATGTGACTTTCGATTTTGGATATGTAGCTTTGGACATTGGTCATGCCGTACCCGAAGATGCAGGACAATATTCCGTACGAGCGATTAACGCGTTAGGACAATGCGTATCATCAATCGAGCTTAAGGTAATCCCAAGAGATAACATTATTCTGGATTCTCAACGGCCGGAGGGAATGGACAAAATCAGGGAGCTCGAAGCCCAACAACCATGGAAGAGACCGGAGATTCCAGAGCCTCAAACTCGACAGCGACCAGTCTTCACGCAACCATTGCAAAATATCGATAATATTACCGAAGGTCACACTGCGCATTTCGAATGCAGACTCATACCCGTAGGTGATCCTATGCTCAAAGTGGAATGGTTTAGAAACGAAGTGCCTCTTGAGACAAGTAAGAATTCCTAGATACAAAAGTTTAATATTAAGTATTAAATATTAGTATAATTCTATAATACTTCGACAATACAATTCTCGCGTAAAATTAATTTTCATTGCAATTTTTTTAGGTTCGCGAATTACAAAAGTGCATGACTTTGGCTATGTATCTCTTGATATTGCTCACATACGTGACAAAGATGAAGGAGTTTACATGTGCCGCGCATCTAATCCGTTGGGCGAAGCGGTTACCACAGCTTCAATGAAGATTAAAAGTAAATGATTTTTTATCTATTTAATTGAAGCTATCAAAATTGATTTTTTTTAACGAGTAATCTTTAGAATAATTAATTATTTAATCTATTTAATTATTCTCATATTAATTGCACGTATAGCTAAGGAGAGCATACAGTTAGATACTCAACATCCAGAGGCGCAACGTAGAATCGCTCAGTTGGAAGCCAAGGAAGCCGGACGACCCGAAGAACCGGAAAAAGTGTTTGATAAACCGATTTTTACGCAGTTGCTAACTGGTCCAACGGAACTTTGGGAAGGACAAATGGCTAGATACGAATGCAGAGTCGTTCCTGTCGGCGACACGAGTTTAAAATTCGAATGGTACATGAACGGAGTTGAATTAAAAATGGGTAAGATAGCTACAAGTTCTTTAGCGTTAAATGATTAGATATTAGTATCGTAGGTATGTAACATTAATAAAATCATCGAATATTTAGGTTCACGCTTCCACGTAAACCATGATTTCGGGTACGTAACATTGGACATTCTAAAAGTTATTCCTGAAGACTCTGGAGTCTATACTTGCAAGGCGATTAACAATGCAGGAGAGGCAATATCGTCGATCTCCTTGAAAGTAAAAGCGCGTTCAGCCATCGATTCTGACAGCATACAAACAGATGCGTGGCAGAAGATTCAATTGAAAGAAGCAGAAATGAATAAAGTGCCAGAAATGTTTGTCGATACAACTCCGCAGCAGGCACCAGTTTTCACCAAACATCTCGAAAGTTTCGATAAGTTGATAGAGGGTCAACGTGTCTATTTAGAAGCTCAGGTAGAGCCGCGGGCGGATCCTAATTTGAGAGTGGAATGGTTTAAGAATGGTATAACTCTCCAAACTGGAACGAGACTTCGTAGTACGTTTGATTTTGGTTTAGTAACACTATCGATTAACGGGCTAAGACCCGATGATTCCGCAATTTATACATGCAAAGCAACTAATCTTTTGGGAGAAGCCGTGTCAACTTGTAGTTTGAAAATTGCCGATCGTCATTGGTTATTGGGAGATACTTTGCATCCTGATGCTCTATCGAAAATCGATGCTTTGGAACAGCCTCAGAGAATCTCTACTGAGCAACCGGAACCTACTTACGAAGAACCAGTTTTTATCACTCATTTAAATAATGTAGAATGCATCGAAGGTGATAACGCTCACTTCGAATGCAATGTAGAACCGTCGAAAGATCCGACTATGAAGATTGAATGGTTTTTGAACAATAAACCTTTGCCGACTGGTGCGAGATTTAAAAGCACTTATGATTTTGGTTACGTGGCTCTGGACTTGACTCACGCTTACGAAGAAGATTCTGGAGTGATTACCGTTAAAGCTACAAATTCAAAAGGAAGTGCACAGACATCTGGTACTTTAAAATGTACTAGCAAGCAAAATATTTATCTTCAAACGCAACATCCACAAGGAGAAGTCGGACTTGAGAAAGTGAAAGAAGCCGAAGATGCTTATCTATCAAAATACAGAAGACCAGAAGAAATTCCTGAATATGAATATCCTAAACCGATCTGGACAGTGCCTCTCGGGCCTGAATTTAAATTGGGAGAAGCTGAACCATTACATCTAGAGGGACAAGTTGAGCCAAAGGATGATCCTAATTTAAAGATTGAGTGGTACTTTAATGGAAAACCTTTAGAACATGGTTCACGCTTTAAAATGACTAGCGATTTTGGATTTGTCACTTTGGATTTAACGGACGTTTATGAGCGTGACTCTGGTATTTACACTTGTAAGGCCTATAACAAAGCAGGCGAAGCTTTCACTTCAACGACAGTTTATTGTTCTACGAAGGAAAATATTATCGAAAAGTCGCAGCATCCTAAAGGCAAAGAAGGTCTCGAAGCAATTCAAGATCTGGAAGAGTCTTTAAAACGGCAAGAAGGAGCTCCTTTAGGAGAGGAAGAAGGTCAACCACCAATGTTTACATCACAATTCGAGAATCTGACTAATCTCTCGGAAGGAGAGATCGCTCACTTTGAAGCATCTCTCATCCCTACTGGTGATCAAACTATGGTAGTTGAATGGTTCTACAACAGCAAATCTTTAGAAGCTAGTCATCGCACGAGAACCGTTTACGCTTTCGGCATGGTTGTTCTCGAAGTTCTTGGTACTAAAATAGAAGATTCGGGTACTTATACTTGTAGAGCTACCAACAAATGGGGTAAAGCAGAAATTAGCGTGCAATTAGAATGCATTGACAAATCCAAGGGACAGAAACCTAAATTTACAACACAGATTCAATCCTTGGAAGGTTTAAAGGATGGCCAATCAGCTCACTTTGAGTGTACTCTAATCCCAGTAGGTGATCCTCATATGAAAGTCGAGTGGTTCCACAATGGAAAACCTCTACGGCATTCATCACGTTTCAAGATGGTCTCTGATTTCGGCTTTGTAGTTATGGATATCGCCGGTGTGATGTCTCACGACAGCGGAGAATACGTTTGCAAAGCTAGCAATAAATACGGCGAAGATTATACAAAAGCTACGATTAAGTGCTTTGGCAAGAGCGGAGTTTACTTAGATTCTCTGCAGCCGGATTCGCTTGCTAAAATTCGAGAACTCGAAAGTTATACGGGAGAACAAACCACTACATCTACAATTCCTGTTGCTGAACCACCGAAATTCATTACGCAGATCGCGGACATAACAAAACTGATAGAAGGGCAGTCTGCACACTTCGAGGCTAGACTGACCCCAGTGAACGATCCCGATTTGAAAGTCGAGTGGTATTACAATGGCAAGAAACTTCCTCACGGCCATCGATATCGCACTTTCCATGACTTTGGTATCGTTATCCTAGATATACTCTATTGTTACGAAGAGAATTCTGGAGTTTACGAATGCAGGGCCGTTAATAAATATGGTGAAGATTCTACGAGAGCAACGCTCAAATGCTTCTCCAAAGCTAATCTTGTTTTGGAATCGCAACTTCCAAAGGGCATGGAAGGCGGCCTAGAAAAGATACAAAATCTCGAAGACTCGATGATACGTACGAAAGACGAAAAAATTGTAGAAGAACGAGGCAAGGCTCCTATGTTCACTGTACCTTTGAGTAACGTCGATGGTCTACGAGAGGGAGAAAGTGCGCATTTCGAGGCACGAGTAATTCCTACGGACGACTCAAAATTAAAGGTAAATTAAATTTCATTTAATTTTAGTTTGTACTATATATCATACGCATGTAAATATATAGATATGTATATATACAGGGTGTCCAGCCCCACTCTTCCAATCTCCCACAGGAAGGTAGATAGGATCGAAATAAACATAAAAGTCCTTTACCGTTTAGTGATATCCGTAATAATAATTGAGATATTAAAGTTTGAAATTGTACTAATGAGAGCGCCTATAGAAAGAATAAAAACGGCTCCGGTCGCTCGAGGTATAGCCCGGCCCAGTTTGACAAACGATGGATGCGGCGGCAGGAGAGGTAAGAGGGGAAGCGCGCCGTTGCTTAGCGCTCGGCATCGCCGCTCACACGTCTCACCGCACCGCACCAAAGGATTCGCGCGATGGCTGTTACGCA